AAGGGAAAAAGTCATGCACTTGATTTCAAATTTTAACCTGTTCAAACCACATTAAAATTGGATGGAAGAGATCAATAGCAGAGACTAGGCTGGGTAAAATACATTTAAGCAGACAAAGTCCTGCTGTGGTCCCAGAGATTCAATTCCACCAGCATGAGATGTTGGTGAGAAGCCAGCCTTTGGGTTCATAACTGCAGAACATATTGCCCACAGAGTGAAAGCAGTGAAATGGCACAAACTCAAAAGAGTTTTCTAAAGCTAAAGTTAACTCACCTCTGACCTTAGGACTTTTATATGGTGACTTAGAGCAAGGCAGGTATGAATGCCTTTGTGGTCTAGAGAAGCCCCTGCCAGAGCATGCTGTCTCCTGGGACATGGGTGCATGGGTCTGCTGAAGGAGCTTCCAGCACATCAGCCTCATGTAAGCAATACCTGGGTATCTGGCTGGTACCTCCAGCTCTGCTTACCAGTTATGCTGGATACTGAGGACTTGGAGATGATGTGCTGGGACAGAAGGCAGGGGTACGGATATCTTTCAGATTCTGGCTGGAGGAGGAGTGTAGGAGTGGGAAGACGACTTTATAATTGCCTTTTTTTATCACTCTTTCTGACTATATTGACTTTATACTTGACATAGCTTTGGCTGGCAAGTGAGGCCCAGATACATTCGGAATTAGATATGACTCGGTTCATTCTTACATGAGAAGAAAATCATCGGTTGCTACAGAAACAGCTCCATATCAGTCTCATGGGGCATCTTTGCATCTGGCTTTTTCTCCTTCTCTTTTGCTAATATGTAGATAAGAGTCGAAGCAGTGCAGCACATCCCACATCTATATAAGGTTGGAGGAACTCTGCAGAGAGCAAAGTGTGAAAGAACATCTCTTAGATAAGCTAAACTTAAATGAATGAGTTAATTTACATCCCCCTACAATTTATTTCTTTTTCTTTTTATTTTTTTTTTTTTTAGTTTTGCAACTTTAGCTGAGTTAATTGAGGTGAAAATTAAATGACACCAGTCAGCAAATATGTTAAAGACCACCAGCATCAAGGAAGAGAGAGGAGTTACTCAGGAGTTACTAAGAAAAATTTAGGAAATGATCCAAGGGGTGAGTTAGAATGTCTGTCAAGAAAATTGCATATTGCAGTGGAATAATAATCCAGATTTAACTTTCAGGCAAGTTGTTTAACTTGATAAATTAAGGAATTAGTTAAAACTAAGTGTATATTATAGGTGAACAGGGACCATTCTGCACACTTCAGACCAGCTCACCAGCGCCGTTTTAACTGGTTTTCTAAAATGTAATGAATTCTTGATGCTTAGTAGATTAATATTTATTGAGTGAATCAATGCTTAATTTATTAAAAATTTGCCTTCCTTGTATTTTAATATGATTTGTTACTCATCAGTGCTTACTGCATTAATTAAAGATTGTGTTAATTTTGTGCAAACGAACAGGATCTGCTGCAGGTTTGCTGCAGAGCCCTAATCCACTGCAGGGATGTTGCCTCTGGCTAGTACCAAGGATAGAAAACTGCGAGGTGGGAAGCTGGTGTGAATCACCACTGGCCTCTTCCTGCCGTTGGGCTTTCAAATAGCTGAAAGTGAAAATGAGGATGCTGCCCCTTAAGGGTAGGACAGGATTATAGCAATAGAGAGGCTGTGGTAATGCAGAGGATCATTCAGTTTGCCTCTTGTTAATTACGGCTGATGCTGTGGAAATCATTTTCGTGTTTCTCATGGAACACCTTTTTGACAATGTAGGTGAAACGCAGCCTTAGTAATACAGCAAACTGTCACCTCTTACCTGACCAGAGACGATAGCCATTACATTTCACTGCTCAGGTTTTAGGTAATTCTTGGGGCAGTAGGTTACCTGAATATTGGGATAGTCCCGCGCATCTCTGCAGGGGCAGGTGTTTGAGAAGTGGAAAATTACTAAAGGCAGAACATAAAGAAGCCAGACATCTTGTGAGATGAGCCTTTCGAGAAAGCTGTCAAAACAGGGAGAGGGTGAGCATGCTGGAAGGGGCCAACAGCTGCAATTTGCATCCTTCCGCACTGAAGGGAGAAGTGAATATATAAAGCCCCACAGCCATGATACTTCTGAAGAAATTATTTTATTAATCTTTGTGACACTTGTAACGTCTCTCTTTTTAAATTCAAATTCTGCTGCTTTTATAGCTACCCATAAGCGTGTCTGTATGGGTTTTCTTTAAAAAATCCATCTAGTTACTAGGCTGCCTGCATCCAGCTGAGCCCTGGAAACGGCAGAGAGCTGGCCCCTGAGATCTGAGAGCAGGCTTAAATTTCTGGAAAGTGATTGGATCCATAATTAGTGCATTTTTGCATGTTTAAATGCACAGTTCTGGAATGCACTTTGTTGTTTCCTTCTCTCCAGGGCTTGGGCGAGTGTGCACAAACTTCCCTTGCTGAGCCAAAGGAGAGAAAATTCTTCAAGGTCCACTGAAGGTTAGAGCAGAGAAATATTTTCTCTCTCAGTGCACTGGGCAGGCAGCTACCACCGTGCTCCAGCCTGGAGCACTGGGGTGGAGCCAGTGCCAAGAACCTGGTGGCATTTCAAATCCCTTGCAGCACTTAGGTGTTAGATGCAAAAGATCAGTGCTGCTCCACTTGAAGTCAGAGAAATAACTTGAGCTTAAAGTTCAACGTATGCACAAAGATTTCCTGGATCTGGAGTTTAATTTGTTTTTCCAAAGCCAGCTTGAAGGCAGAGTCCAAACAGGTAAAAAGTTATAAACTGAACATTTGACATGTACCAATTTCATTGTATTTCCCATTTTGTTTAGCCTACTCTATATGCTTTTGCTTTCCTACAGGATCAAGTTAAGCTGTTTCAGGTTTTATTTAATGTTTGTTTTTACTCTAGTTAATAGACTCAAGTCAGGACTGGAGGCCACTTGAGCTACGTGCCTTTCTCTCTATTCCAAATCTCTATGTTTTGCAACCTTCTTTGATGATATTTATATTCCAGCTTTTTTCCCCAGTAGAGAAGCTTTCACAGAGTATAGGTTTTGGATATATATTTTCTTCTCTAGCTGTTCATTAGATATACAGCATTTGGAGTTCCAGTTGTGCTGAGAAATCCAAGCAAAGCTTTTGGCCCAGTGGGTGCTAAGCCGTGGCATTTCACAGCTTTGTACATATAAATCAGGATTAAGGCAGAGATTCTCTATAAAATTTAGCTCATTAGGAGATATTTTGTCTTATGGCTCCCACTGGGGTGGTGGGTCCTTTGCTTATTTTGCCTTATTGCTCCCTGGGAACGGATGGTGGGGCGAGCAGACCCTACAGTGCAGAGACAGCATTTCTGAGTGGTTCCTGTCAAGGTAAACCAAGGCAGCAGCAGGGCCTTCTGTTCCCTTATGCCATTACCCTGGCACACCTGGAAAAAGGCTTGGCATAGACTGGCCTTAGTGTTTTATAATAAAGCAAATGTGATCAAGCACACTGCTAAAGTCATATTCAGGATGACTTAGCAGAGTTAAAAGAATAAGAAGTGCCTATGAAAACAGGCAGGAATGCATTTTCTCCCAAATATGATTTGTGTTGTACAAGAGTTAAAGTACTGAAGGCCAGGAAGGTTTCAAAAATGGGTTTTTTTTCAGCCTGACATCCCAATCAGCAGGCCACATTCACTGTTGGGCATATAGCTGAAGTATATTCAGTGGATGATCAACTGTGTCCATATACTTTAGCCAGTGAAGCTTTACTTATAAAGAAATTATGGGTTTGGAAAGGAGTTTCATCAGTCATAATTTCCAAGGAAGAGCTTTCACAGTAGGGGATACCATGTTAATGTTTCCTCCTCAAGGACTTTCAGCTGTCACCCAGGGAATACAGTGAATGCGGTGATGAGAATTAGATTAGAAAAAGATCAATAGGGCTGACAATAAATGAAAGTAACACAGACATTATTGAGCAAATTAGGGAAGAGAAATTAGACTGGACAGTATAATCTTCAATGCTAGCTAGACACACTAACGTTGGGCAAAGTTAGGGAGAAGACAGTAAGTTAGAAAGTGCTATGAAGAAGAGGTAACAGTTTGTGTGATGGGGAAAGCTTTGCTGGTGTTGGAAAGCTGTCAGCCCACAGAAAGGTGGAAAAGAATGATAGTGATCCAGGAGCACAAGAATTTCAGTGGCAGGCTACAGAGGTGGGGAGATCACCTATGAATGGGACCATACAGTAGCCAAGAACTTTGGCTATGTGTTACAAGGGGAAAGGGAACATCAGACATATCCCCCCATCACAAAGGCATTGGTGGGATAACTTGTTCGAGGCAAAAAAATTTCCTCACCTTTGTGTAGTACAGGTTGGTTTGCCCTGTGAAGGTTTGCAGCCCTTCCAGAAATCGGTCTTCTGCTTAAACTTATTTGCCATAATAACTCCCTGTATTCTGCTATCTGTACAAATATCCAGTGATGATCAAGTCTGGCAAGCTTTTGGGGTGAGGGATATCCAGTGGCAATGAGATCTATGAGCTGAATGCGCTCAGCATGAAAAGAAGCTTTCCTTTTATCAGTCCTGAGTTTGTCTAGATCCTCTTACATGTCTTTGAAAGGTTCACCCCAAGGCAATATAATTGTGTTTGATCACATACAGGCTATGAGTCAGTGATTGATATGAATAAAGAACTTTGAGTTTCTTGTCTTGGTTCCTTGTCTCCTTCCCTGCGGAATCAGAAATCACTTTTATAAATATGTCAGTCCATCTGTGCTTCCAGCTATCCATTTCAAGTTCCAAAAAAGAAATAGTAACACTTTATAAGTGCAAATAAAAACACATTAAAAGGACTGAGCGAGGGGTTTTTCTTCGTCATAAAGTATGTGTGGATCCCATCCAAAAGAGTTACTGTGAGCCATGTAACTTGCAATTAATTCTGCTATAAATGTCAGAACACTTACTTTGCAGGTCTAAGCTGACCCACTAAAATTAGTCCCCTTTTAACAATTCCTTTTATAATTTGTTTTTCAGCAGAAACGGCAGCTTGACCTCCTGACAATAACCAGCCCTGGTAAGTGAGCTCTACCGCACGGCTCTCTTCTCTTTTCTTAAAGAGATGGTTGTCTAAATGTGTTTTTTCCCCTGTCTCTGACATGCAAAATGAAAAACACTGTTCCCCAGAAAATCTTTCACGTAATAACAAGTGACAGCTATATTGTGCTTGGCAAAGCCCCGGGCAGTTATCCGTTCACAGAGCTGCCTTTTCAGACCTTTACTCTATGAATTTGAGTGCTGATATTTCTTTAAGCCTCCTGGGGTTACAGTTAGTGGTATATCTGCAGGGCAGATGCCCTCGAATTTGCAATGTGTGTTCAAGTATCACAGAAATGTGAGTTTGACTTTCCTTGGTGGCAAAAGCGAGCAGTTCAGGGAGTAAGGAGACGGTGGCTGTCTGTGCACATGGTGGGAAACAGGGCAGAGAGCCCCAAAGTAAGTCAGAAAATATTTGGATAAAATTAAAGTTCTTTAAGTGATCTGCTTCATAATGGCTTTTGTTGTTTGCCTACTGTAACAACCCAAAATGTGTCGTATTGTGAAAGCATCGGGCTCTTTGGCATAGTGAGTTTCGAAGGTCTCGGCACCGTGATTGAAATGCAGGTCGTTTGAATAGTGCTTCTCTTTGATCTCAGCTCTTAAGGCTGGATGGCTTTTAATTTATTGCCATTTTTCTGGCTCAGTTTCTTTCCATTAGCTGCTACAGAAGTTTGCTGCCCACCAGCTTCAGACGTACACCGCGCTTGAGTGGTGCTACGTTTTGGTTAACTCTTTCAATTTTTCAGATGTATGTATGTATTAAGCTTTCAGGTTGGCTTTAACTGAGCCTAATGAGTTCTGGCTTTAACTGGGAATAATGCGTTAGCAGAATGAACAGGTGTTATAGGAAGCGAAGAAAATGTGACACACGTTTGCTTGGATAACAATTTTGCATCAATAATTGTTCTGACACTCTAAATGTAGATATAATCTGTGACATGGTTTCTCCTTCACTAACCTTGTTAAAATAATAAGAATTAAAATAAGGAGGAGGAACACTTTGTTGGGCCAGATGTTTGAGGCTATTGGCAATTGCATCACATTTTTGCATGTTCACTTTTCACGCAGTTGGCAATTATGTTAATGTATGCTCAGGGCATTTGCTGATAAAAGCAACAATACACTGTGATACAGCCATTGTCACTATTCTGACTAACTTCAAGGACAAACATGGCCCATTTTTCATTTTTCCTATCTTCAGCATTCCCTATTTCTAGAGGAAAACAAAAAAAAACTCTGAAGGTCTTCATCGTAATAAACACTCAGATCTTGGATAAGGGCTCCAAAGGCCACAGACTCTGTTTTAATAAGAGAAAAAGAGGGTTGGGGCCCAGAATAAATACAAGACTTTTCCATAAAGCAAATTTATGATACCTTCCTCGTAATTTCTGATACAGTATTAACTGGAACAGTGAAAGGGTTGGCTAAGTTGAGTTTGTTCATAGATGTGATCATAGTGAGTAGCTATCACTTCAGATCTTTCAGTTTAATAAAGCAATCTACTAAATCAACAGAGCAATTAGTTGGAAGGATCAAAATCGCTTTCAATAACTGTGTAGGCAGACAGACTACATTAAAAGGAGGAAAAAACGCTTTCCATAACATGCTTTTTTCCACGAAATGCAAGTTTTGCCCTTTGATATTTAGCCAAAAATCTACAATCATTAGCTACACAGGAAAAAAAAGAAATTGTGTCAGGATTCTATAATTGAGTACCTACAGTTTTGCTTTCAGTCAAGGTATTTTCAAAAGAAGCCTGATGCTGGATCAGACCAAACTTACCTAAAAACCTCAAGCTGAGAGTTTTCAAAGAGGCTGGAAAAGTTAGTCACTTAATTCCTAGTAGGATTAGAAAATGTCAACCTGTGGATTAAAGGGACTTGTTTGGGCCCTATAAATATAGAAATAAAATAACTTATAGTCTTGAGGCTTTTATCTCTTTTTGGAGGCTGCAGCTTTAAAATATGCCATTCTTTGAGTCCTAGCTCTAAGATCTGACATCAACACTCTGCTTTTATAACGTTGTGGTATCGGTTATGATGGCTGAGATCAGCTATAATCACTGTCATCCCTTAATGTGCTGATTCAAATTAGGGACTAGGTTATTTATTTGCACCTGTTAATCCTTTGGGACTTGTTCCTCTTCTCCACCTTGCCGCAGGCAAGCAGCCCTCATTTGTGGAGGAGGTCACTCGGCCTTATTTATAGTATGAAAGTCCTCCATGTGTCACAAGCAGTATCAACCACCAAAGCCCTATTGCTTAATTGTAAGAATAGACAAAGGACTTAAAAGCCAAAGGTGACCTTTGTGATTCGCTCTTCTGTCATGACGAATACCATCTTGGTTTTGTGTGTGTGTGAAATTCTCAAACCTTTTTTCATATGTTTAGTCAAGAGTCACTTGGTGATCCCTTGCAGGTATTACAGCAGCTCTTCTCCATATGCCATTAAAAAAAAATCCAGAAATTCATCAGCCAATTAATGAGATTAATTGCAAGGTAAAATAATGCCATTAATGTCAGTTAAGGGGTGCTGTCAGATGACAATTTGTGGGATGGAAACCTTAACGTTACCACACGGCAGTTATGCTGTTCCTTGGGGCCAGGGCTGTTGCATGCTTCCATGGGAATCACAAATACGTAGGTAGCAGTGCCTAATCCTCATGCCCTGAATACTCGCCTATCACCTATTGCCTTACTCCACACAGCTTCCAAACACTGAGAAATGTGCGTGTGGCTCTGCAGAACGTGTCTGAGCAGGTGCTTGACTTAAAAGCACGTTTGTATGTTAAACTGAACAGGTATAGATCATTAATGTGTAACCTGGACTGACGGCACGGGAAAAAAATGGGAGGTGGAGGGGTAAGGAAAGAAAAAGGAAGGAATACAGAGGGTGAGAGCTGCAGCTTCAGCTACACGCTTTGTATGCAACATACAGAGCTGACCTGGTCCAGTGCTCCTAAGAAAACAGCTATGGAAAGCTCCACAACATGCCCCAAACTGGAGGAAGTCTTTGCTTTGCTGCCGGTCTCCAGAAACAGCCAGACACAAATGATGCATAAGCTGGGAGCGAGCCAGACTCCCTCATGCTCAAATATATTCCTTTGAAGTTGCTGACACCCATGTAAAATGTGGAGGGAGTTCACTGCTCTGCGTTACTGCTGAGTAGCTGGAGGAATGTTAAGTTAAATCTATCAGTGCTCTCGCCGCACTCCTTTCTTCTTGCCTCTTGACACGTGAGTTACAATTACTCTGTAACACGCTGTATGGTTCAGGGTGCCAGAGTCAGAGCTGATGTGTGCAGTGGGATGGGGGAAGGATGTTAAAACTTGATTAGTAGCTGGCAGGGATGTGCTGGCAGGGAGTGGGGCGTGATGAGATTTAAGTTTGGGTAATTTAAATTTTCTTTAAACTTAGTTTTACCTCTGAATTTGATCCAAAATGGTTCCTCAACAATTTTTTCTAGTCCGGTTTTAGGACTAAATCTTCAGGTGGTTTAGTTTGGCCTTGCTGCACAGAGGAGCAGAGGATCTGCCCTGAATTTTTATGTGGTCGTGTTCCTGTAACGCGTTGAACATGCGTATACAATCACATTGCATTTAGTGGTAACAGCTCAATAGCTGCAAATAAAATATCCCTGTTTCCATAGCTTTTCCATGGAGATAAAGCTTTTTGCATCTCCTGTGTTTACGATAATAATACAGCTTTCCAATTTCTCCTCTCAGTAAGGTAAGTTCATCTCCCACTGAAGTATTTTTTAATAATTGATACCATAAATGGAAGTTTGTTGGAAACTATTGGCTTTGAAAATAGCTAACGTGATATTATCCAAGAACCATCAGGAAAATTCTTTTGAAATTCTCTTTGATTCAGCCGTCCTCAGGGCTTTATCCTCCTCTACCAGTCTCTCTACTGCCAATTTAAAATAACATTCTCTTGAAATCAGTGCAATGTCAGGAGAAATTCATCAGCACCGTAGGTGCATGTTTCCCAGATGTATATAAACCTACTACATTTGGCAGCAGTAAATTGATTGCATTTAAAAAACCTGGGGTAGTTGAATATTCCATAGTGCCCAGCTTGGCTACAGAGTGGAATATAAAGTATTTTAAGTTTCTTTCATTCTGTTTTCAGCGCAGTAGAGTAAGAGCTGACTCCATAATTCCTGCCTTTTGCTTACTTACTTTGCCTCTGACCACATTAGAGGTTTACATGCAGGGACAGAGCAAGATATTCTTAATCTCTGTGAAGTGGCATTGAGATTTGATCAGAAATGTTAATGGCTTTTTTGTGTGCTTTCCCCTAATCTTTAAGCTTTTACACTTTTAAACAAGAGAAAAATCCTTGATTTTAAAAGTATTTATCAGACTCATTTATGTGGTGAAATATTCTCCCTGTTTTAATATCATCAGTGCTGCACGCTCTAAAAATGTCCCCAATTCATTAATTCATGATATACTGCTACCCTGAATTCTTTTAAGGTGGCTTTAGTTTCTGCCATACATATTTTACTGCTTTAAATTATGGATATAGGACTCTTGCCTAGTTAATTTCCTCTGGTTAGGAAAATATATTTCTACTTTCCTGGCATTGCATAAAGTGATATGTGGGATTTGCTATATTTTTTAGCTGATTAAGTTCTGCATTTCTACATATTACTGCTTATGAGACCCCAAGTAAAACTACGTAAGGGAAGGAGAAGTTTTATGGTACATTTCAAAGTTTCATTTAACTATAAATTCCACCACTAAGCCCTGCTACAAGACTTTTCCATTACCTTCCTGGATAGTCTGGCTATCTACTTCTTTCTAATTGAAGCATGAAAGTAATATGAACTCAAAGTCATGAAGCTATAAGACAGGTATTAGTAAAAATGATACAAGGTAATAAAATGTGACAGAAAGTTGTTTGCTGCTAAAACTCTTTTTGCTAGTACTTATTAATTAAGGGTACATTGATTTTGTCTAAATATGTGTCA